CGCAATGACTTTGAGGACTTCACTGCTGCATGCTGGCTTGGCTCGATTCAGTCCCTAGCCCCTCGGCTTCTTCTTTTACCGTTTCGCGCTGAACAACATAATAATAGGCCATATCATTTTTATTGATATCGATAACTTTTGTCATTATCCATTGTTAAGTCAACACTAAAATACTTATAACTTACCGTCCCACATCGACAGTGGATCTTTGAATGAGTTGATGTTGCTGATGCAGGTGTGGACCGAGAGTGAGAAGAGCCACGACAGTCCATAGTAGGAGAGCTTCCAGACTGATTCAGGAAATTTCGCGGAATATCTTGGAAATATGTGATTCCGGGCAACCCATGACTGAAATATCGTTCTTTCCACATTAGTTCGAGGCATTTTTGCGATATATCAAAACCGTGAAATTTTAATGACGGCCTCACGATTTTGCTTTGTCCCCTTTTGGTTTTCTTTCCTCTTGGCCACGTTACCCGCAATTGTGTGAGCATGGCTGCGCCGCGAACATGGATGGAATGAAATTTTTCAGCAGTGGTGTCCAGGGTCTGTTACTAGAATTTTTACCGAAGGGAACGTGTAGTGCCAATGAAAAGCATAACCCATTAGTTCTCGCTGCAATGGTTCGAAAAGCAAATTTGCCTCAATTGTTTGGTTGAAACAAACCTAACAAAAAGAAAGCCAAGAGTGAAGCAGGTTGAGATCTTCTGTAACTCTCAGAAACTTCACTGAATCCCTGCATTTTTGGCCATCCCATTCTATGGATCACGTCGTTCATAGTTACATGTCTAGGTATGTGCCTCAGAATCGATATGAAAAGGTTAGGAAGAAGTGGCGCATTCACAAGAAGCGTCACGTTGAGTGTAGACCACATGCCTGCAAAGAGTGGGCCTTACAAGCAGGGTCAACCGTCCATCGCACTATTCGAACGAGGGGGCCGCATTTGTGATTTCGAAAAGGGGGTCGCATTTTGGGGTTTAGCGATGTGAATGATTTCAGGAGAAGTGGGAAC